ATTGGTTTTTTTCCCCGACAAATTGACCGAGCGAAATTGATAGACTATCATTTATCTGATTAATATCTGTTTGAAATTTGTCTAAAATAGGAGAGAGCTATTTTTATTCTGGCAATTTTTTCCCCCCGTACAGTTATTTTTTCTAACTTTTTATTATATTCTAGAGTGTTAAAAAAAAACCCATAATTAAAATTTCGCTTATCTACGAACGAGAGAGAGAGAGGGAGAGAAGTTATTGATTATTTGTGTTTATTTAGCCCAATTAAAAATTTCAGTATTAACAATGTAAATGTGCGTGTAATTTTAATTTGAAATTAAACGACTAATAATATTTCTCTTTAATAATAAATGACCGAATTTTAAATTGAAAACGACTAAATCGCGGTACGCACGATTTTAAAACCAGAACTACTAGAATGATGAAGACGAACAACGTAATTATAATTTTTCATAGAAATTGTTTAGATTGGTACGATTTTTCGTAAGGTATATGTATAAATAGACATTCGTCTGCTTTATTGAGTTGTACACTTTTTTTCTATTCTTTGCGTTTCCATTTGTCTGGCACGAGTTTTATATTCCGGTCGTCTAGTGCTAAACCGCTTCTTTAATACGTGAACGCGATAAATCTTAAATAAACACACCTTCCGTCCAACTAAACCACGTATTTTCACGCCAGATAAATCACTTTCTTCCAAACGAGGAGAAGGAAATCCTTCTCGAGGAAGAAACGAATGAAAACCGACACGCGCATTTTCCACGATATAAATTCATCTTTATGCAAAGAGTACACCGCCGCTCGAGAATCTCGGGACAAGCATATTTCTCTCGAAACTGAAGGAAATTAAATAAATCTTTTCAACAACGATGTACCTGTAAAAGTCTGTTGTAAAGATGCACGTGCAGCTGAAAAATTAACCTAATAATTGAACATCAATCCGTTTTCGCTGTCGATTAAAAAGATGAATCACCGGAGAGAAAGTACTCGGCGGTTAAAGGATTAGGAATGAAGAAAAAGAAGATGTCGTCAAACTTTCGAGCGTGAACGTATAATAATCAGCCGATGCGTATTTCATTGGTCGAGGTGAAGAAGCTTGAATTACCTGGTTCCGGGCAACAGTAGCCTCGAGTAATTTTCCTCCAGCTCGCATGGCAGTACGACCTTGCTGTGAGGTTTCACCACCAGTTCCAAGGGTGGCTTTGACGGAGCGGCAGCTGTATCTAAGGAGACTGGAACATTGGTTGTAGCGGAAGAACTGGTAGACCATAAGTCCTCTTCGGGGGCTAAAAGGGCCGCGGGCTGCGCCACCTCGTCCGACAGAGAAATCAACGTCGAGCTGGACGTCGTTGTACTGGTGGTGCTGGTCGTGGTTCTTCTAGCACGGCGTCCGCCCTCTTGCCTGCCGCGGAGGGTGAAAACACCCGCCTCGTTCACCGAGCCTG